GACTTTCTAATCTTAGGGAATCCCAAATTTTGTTGATAATGTATGCTTTGTATTGGTGACTGGTAAACAAAGAGTATAATGTATCCTAGAGCATAGGCACGAGGATTGGGAGACCAAGGTTAGGTTTAGACTCTACATCTTACTAGGTGTATAAACCTGGACAAGTAAACTAACCATAAACTTCAATTTCTCCATCATCTGTATTAATTAACTCATTTAGTGTATGTGTGTGTGGGCAGACCCTTTCTCAATGTATATGTATACTAAGTCATGGTGTTGTATCCTTTAGACAACTTACAATGTCAGTTACACCTCAATAAAGCTGAAAAATTTGTGTCTCCGTCCTTGAACAGGGCATATTAAAACCTTTGCTGTGCCCTCCTCTTAGGGCAGTTGTGAGAATCAAATGAGATAATGTATGTTATGTATAACGTTATATTATATATAATATAAACCATGAAATGGAGAAAGTGTTAAAGAGGTAGGGTTGAAAAATTGGAGGTCTTGAAGAACATATACTTTGAGAGTGAAAGTAAGAGGAAGAACAGAATAGAGATGACTGTATTTAGCTAATCAGAGGGACATGAATGGATACTAATTTCTTCACTGAAATCCAATATCAGCTGGGTTCCAGAATATAGGACAAACAGTAATACATAAACAAAATAAAAATAAATCCCCATGTCTTTTAATTTTAGGAATGTGTGCTCTCCTAGATTGCAAATCTTTGAGAAGAAAGAATGACTATATCTTACCCATTTTTATCACCTACTTCCTATATCTAACATAATTACTTGTATGTATTAGACACTCAAAACTTGTGGAAAACCAGTGTAGATAAAGAAACCAAAGAAAATCAAACTTTTATAGTGAGGTAATAGTTTACAAGATATATTTGAACAACTAAGTATATGATCATGATTATATTGTACAAAAAAAAATTCAGTATAATAGTCCTCAAAACTCTGTAGATTTCTTTCTCATGTGTGTGTTTATATTTATTTCACACTTTTTTTTTTAGGAATAATTTAACTTATATTTATCATGGTATCCTCAGTCAACTTGAAATGACAATTTTGGGGGAGATCTCTCATTCAATTCAAATATTTAGAATTTTTAATAAGGTCCTTATATGCAGGAATGTGTGTGAGGTGTTTGGGATAGATAAATTGCATTCCACCATCTTCGTAAATTAGCTTCTATTTACATGAGCATATCTTTCAGAGGTTGTATCTATGTACTGTACGTACCATTATACTTCATAAGTATCTGTTAGTAATAGTAATAATGATAATAATAATAATAACACTTGAGTAATACCTATGTAACAGGCACTGTTCTAAGTAGTTTGTTTACATGATTTATTCACTTTTTCCTCACAGTCCAGTGAAGATGTGCTATGATTATCCTTATTTGACAGATGAGGAAACAGGTACAGAGAGGTTAACTAACTTACTCAAGGTCACTGAATTAACCCAGGTAGTCTGGCACCAGTACTCAGGCTATTAACCACCATTACTAATATATACATGGATATAGATGCAGGCATTACTATTGCTTGTTTAAATGTCTCCTTTCTCTACTGTAAGCTCCTTAAGGTCAGGAACACTACATGGCACATTGCAGCTCATCCATAAATATTTCATGAACGAATGAATGAATAAGCTTCTCACTTACTAAGATAATTTTGCTGTTCCCTAAAATATTTCTCTTATTTTAATATTACTTTGCAACTGACACTCTTGGTTCTTCCAAGGCTATTCCCCTTATTATTTGGGTGGTTTGTTATGAGGCATGTTACAGCATTTTAGACCTTTACATTTAAACTTCATTCTTTTGCTGAGACAAAAATGATCTCTTCTCCTGCCAAACATAATAGCGGAATGAGTGTTTACATGAGGGGAGTTTGTAATCCAGGATTTCTGCAGCAGAGGGTTTCAGATATTCTAGTCAAATCCTGCCTTTTGTCCGACTCTTTCTGATGAGTGTTACCATCAAAGCTGCATTCTGGCATCCATTAGTCACCAAGTGCTTATTTTGAGAATGGTTGCTATCATCACTTACTCCCTACAAAGGTGCCACCTAGTTACTTTTGTGTTGGCAATTATGGGTTAAATACACTCCTGGGTTCAGTCCTGCTTAAGCTTGCTAGTTCTCTATTTTAAATGCACAGTTGATACAAGAGTAAAGCTTTCATTGAAGGAATCTTTCAAAGCACTCCTTTTTATTCTTCTTTTTAATAGATGAAACTTTTTTCACTGCTTAGCTATGCTTTTCTACCCCTGCCCTACAAAGCTGTATCACATTGTAGTTAAAGACTAGCGATTGAGAACTTACATTCTTAAAATATTGTTCTCTTTAAAGATATCCATTTGACTATCATTCCTTACTGCCTTGTCATCATCTTTTTAAGTATTTACTTCCAGCTCATGGAATTAATGTCAATCTAAAGAGACATTCCACTAAGGAGTTTTTTCATTATTAATATCTCATATGAAGATCCTGTTTGTTTGTTTGTTTCTATGGCTTTTTGAGTCCATTAATTCCCTAGCAGAGAACTCCATAAAGGATTAACAAATTTGTTAGCAATTGTTTGATAGGAGAAAACAGTTGGACTATTTTTTTTGTTTCTTATTTTATATGTAATTGCCCTGCATGTATCTCTCCTAGAACTTTTCCTCCTTGTGGTATGTCTAGAATTCACCAACTTAGAAACAGGCCAGAGGATATTTAAAATGCCTTTCCCAATTTACAAAGAGGAATAGAAGATGGAATTTTAGGTTCATTAAAAGAAACTACCTATTGCAATGACTATATGTTAAGGACTTGTCAATGTATGCTGGCCATAGTTAGGAATTCTATATTACCCATATTTGTATCACCAATATCTACAACAATTACAGGCCTTCTTTTTCTTTCCTATTCTTTTTCTCCTTTATTCTCTTTCTCCAGTTGAGACACAGGGTTTTGTAGTCTAGGAGAGAGGTGAAAGTAGAAATGTGAATTTGAAAGTGATCTGAATGTAAGGTGATATTTAAGACTATGGACAGAAGGGGGCTACCTTGGATGAGTGTTTGGCAAAGAAGACTATTCATACTTAAATGAAATAGTCAGTAGGATAGAAAGCAAACAAACAGTGTATTTTGAAAGAAGCCAAAAGGAGTGACTCAAAAAGGTAGGCAGCTCTGACATATGCTTATTAAGAGATAGAATAAAATAGGGAATAAGAATTGTCCACTAAGTTTGACAATATGACTTCAACTGTAATTAGAGTGTTTGAGACAAAGGCTGGATGGGAGTGGGATGAAAAAAAATGGAAATGAAGGCAAAGATAATGGCTGTAGATAGTTCTTTTGAGAGATATGACTGTATAGGAAAGCAGGGAACTGAGGAAAAGCTGGAAATTTTAAATTATAGTTAGGTATATTTTACATAGTGGGCAATTTTAAAATTCATTTACAAGCCAATATGAATAGTATGACAAAGAGAAAGGGTGAAACATGATGAAATGAGAGGGAAAACACTTGCAGGAGAAAAATGGGTGAGAAGGTTGGCTCTACTGCTCAGTTTGGTCATGAGTCTTAGCTGCATGGACACTTGCGTTATAACATCAGTGGAAACAGTGGTTACATGCAGGTGCACATTGTAGATTGGTGATGGAAAGGTGAAGTAGGGCTTGTCTGATAAATTCTATTTCTCAGTGAAATATGAGGAAGGTGAAGTGCTTGAAGTAGGAAGAAAATCTATAAAAGGCTTAAGGAATGAGAATCTATAAAGCCTTCATTTAGGAAACTGGAGACTAGAACTTGTGACAAAGTCTGATTTGAGCATTGGTCCACCAGGGGAAAATAGGCAAAACTGTTTTAAGCACACTTCCTACAGGGAGCCAATTTTTGATGATTTATCAAGCACTATGACTTCATATACGGGCCTTAGTGCTTCAGCTCTCACTCACCATTATTTCCTACAGTGATTCAGACCCCTAAAAGTTTCTTTTATCTTCTTGCTCAGTTCACTCATGTGTTTAAAAACATTTTTCAAATTATATTTTATTTTGCATTTCCATTTGTTTGTGTAGGAGGAGAATTTTGCAAGTATTTTCAAGAGAAATAGATCTCTGAACTTCAGTTTCATCATTTTTAAAGTCGAATAATACTATCTACTTGTGGAATTGTGGTTAAGAATTAGACATTATAGGGGCTCCTAGGTGGCTCAGTTGGATAAGCATCTGACTCTTGATTTCGATTCAGGTCATGATTTCCCGGTTTATGGGATCAAGCCCTGCATTGGGCTCCTCGCTGACAGCATGGAGACTGCTTGGGATTCTTTCTCTCTATCTTTCTCTCTCTCCTCCCCTCCCCTGCTCACGCACATGCATGTGTTCTCTCTCTCAAAATAAATGAACAAATAAATGTTTAAAAAAAGAATTAGGGGATGCCTAGGTGGCTCATTCGGTTAAACTCAGGTCATGATCTCACAGTTCGTGGGTTTGGGCCTCGCAACTGGCTCTGTGCTGACAGCTTAGAGCCTGGAGCCGGCTTGGGATTCTGTCCCTCTCTCTTTGCCCCTCCTCCACTCATGCTCTGTCTCTCTCAAAATTAAATAAACATTAAAAAATTTAAAAAGGATTAGATACTATATGTATAAAATGCTGGCCCATAAAAATAAAAATTAAAAAATGATATCTGTATAGTTGTAATTATTATCACTACTAGATAATTTTTTGTCTGTAGAATAAAAAGACTTTGCTACTACTCTGCCTTTTTTCCTAAATAAGGTTAGCTTCTGAAATTGTATTTAAAAGAAATGCTACTTTTTTTTTGCAACTTTAATGTGGCACAATGTTTCTAAGTTTATATGTGTGTGTGTGTGTGTGTGTGTGTGTGTGTGTGTGTGTGTGTATCTTAATGATTTTTTTTTTTTTGTATTTTGGGTTATATAATGTTTTTAGGACCTTGATAATGTAATACTCAAGAAAGAAAAGACTTCAAAAAGAAAACTTATTTCCTTGTGAGACTTTATTCTTATCACACTAGAAAAATTATAATTGATAGTGTAATTTGAAAACCCAAATAATAACACTGAGGAAAAAACAAGGAGTAAAAAAGCCAACACATAATTTGAAAGGGATTTTGAAAACTGTCACATTATTCATATTCTCTTTGTCTACAAACATGTGGCTGAACACTACAATGTTTTATAGTAAAGACTTCTATGCATTTAAGTAACTAAGAAATGCTAAGTAAATACTTTTAGTGTACATGTTTTTTTTCCCACAAATTAAAATAGCCATGGCCTACTTGGTGTTCTCTAAAGGAATATAGATACTATGAAAATCAATGCTCAACTTGTAAAGGAGAAATATGAGATGTTGACATAGTGACTCTTTATTCAATATCTTCCTCCATGTCGGTCTGATCTAGGGCATGTGTCTCTCTTTCAGGTAGTAACCCATATTCATTTAGGAAAGACTCCACATCCCCAGCAAAAAATTCTTCTGCAAACTGTTCAGAAACACTAATAAAATTGCTTATGAGTTCCCCACCTTTGTAGACAAGCAGTGTGGGGAGTACATCTGAGGAAAAGCGGTCCCTAGCACCTGTATTAGAAGCTTTTATTTTACAAAACTTGACCATAGGGTATTCAACTGCAAGGCATGTAAAGCTACTGTTTAGAGCATCACAGCCCTTAATGCCATCTTCATAAATGTGAACAACAATTGTGGTGATTTTCTGCTCCTTTTCAATAGTTTCCAGGAATTGCTCCCCAGTTTCCAGCTCATACACAAACCCATATCTAGGCCCAAAACTCAGCTTCTGGTGCATATCCTGCATACACTGTCTCCGGTATTTACGAAGGCAATTTTCATCTTCTTTGTCCCGGTGGATTAGTTCATATTCTTGAATGCTCATCTAGGAATAAACACAAGAAATGACAGAGATCATTCAGTCAGAATTTATATGCTTTAGACACAAAAGCATATAGACTCAAAGTTTGCATGTGCTATTTTCTCCCCCTCATCCTACCTCACTCGTGGTGTGAAGGCCTTCTCCTTGACCACTTTTAGTCTTTGTTCAAATGTCACCTTCTTTGACTACACCACCTAACAGAATGCCCACCCTATGCTCTCTATTCATTATATTGGTTTATTTTTCTTCATAGCAATAAACACTACCTGAGATTGTGTTGTTTATTTATTTATTTAATAATAGTTTTTATAACTGATAGGTCCCATGGGGCAGGAATTTTGTCTCATTCATCACTCTTCACTATCTGCTGTAGTGTCTGGAATATAATAGGAGCTCATAACTATTTCATGATTAGAGCATGCCTAAATATTGCTGTGGAGCCACGAGATGATCACCAGTAAGAAATGTGCCGCTGAACTACCCATCACTTTGGGTAAAAAAATCCCAGCAAGTTCTACCCTGGAGGGGCTTTCATAAAAAATAAAAAGGTATAGACACACAATCTGAATGTGTCACTCGAAAATGCCTTTATGGGGGCGCCTGGGTGGCGCAGTCGGTTAAGCGTCCGACTTCAGCCAGGTCACGATCTTGCGGTCCGTGAGTTCGAGCCCCGCGTCGGGCTCTGGGCTGATGGCTCAGAGCCTGGAGCCTGTTTCCGATTCTGTGTCTCCCTCTCTCTCTGCCCCTCGCCCGTTCATGCTCTGTCTCTCTCTGTCCCAAAAATAAAATAAAACGTTGAAAAAAAAATGCCTTTATGTTTCTGATGCAGTCTGTTGAGAATTAATATATAATGAATGGTATACACTGGTTTAGAGATAATAATCCATAAGGTGATATATTCCACAATGGAAATCACTGTATGGGTTTTTAATTAATATGGTTATTATTGTTATTGTTATATAGATAATGCATGCTAATTATAAGGATTCAAAAATGGCCTAAAAGCTAAAGGAAGGAAGGAAGAAATAGTGAAATGTCCTCACTCTAATATTCTGAGTTTATCTCCATTAACATTTTAGAGATCATCTTTTAACATATCACATGGAAATACACATTATATGACAAGTAAATTACTGTGATTTTTTTGTTAATGCTGCTTTAAAAAAATCATGATACCTTAAAAAAAAAAAGTGGTTTATTCTGCTTATCTTCTTTCTCCTACTTGGAAAAAGGAAGTTGAGATCTCTCAACCAATCCCATCCTTCCAACTAACCAATATTGTCAAGTTGGTGAGTGTCTTTCCCTACTTTTTTACACACATGTTCATATAATCATATAAGCATAAAAATATATGCAGTAATGTGTTTTTTTTCCCCATTGCGCTAGAGAATGGGATTGTATAATTTACCATACTCTGTATCTTGCTTTCTCATATTATAGAACTGCCTGTAAGTCAGCTCATGTATTTGTGACTAATTCTTTTAATAGCTGCTATACATTTTTTAATATGGAATATCTTCACAGGCATTCACTTCATTTCCTGTTTTTTTGCCAATATAAATACTATAATATATATTTTTGAAATCTATCTATTTTATAATATCTCTAAAGTGATTCTTTCAAGTAATTTTGACTAAAAACATTGTAAGTTATTTATTATTGATTTCTCCTTACCTTTCTACTGAATCTTTCTTTTGAGTCTTTGTTATCTCTATTCTGAGGAGAAGACATTTGTCTGAGAATCTCCTTCTTGCTTGGTGGAACTGAATCACTGTCTTCACTCTCTAATTTAAACTTTCTCCAATCATGTATTACTCCTTTGGGTCCTGAAATAAAATAAAAAACAAATTGTTTTCCTTTTTATTTTCAAAACGACTATTTATACAACTTAAATTTGTATTAACTATTGCCATGGGAATAGACTTGTCATCTTCTGCATCGGAAATGAACATCTTGTTTTGGCTAGAAATTTTTGACTGCCCTGCTCATAAAAATGTTTTCCCAAATTAATCTTGTTAAGTGGGTTATGGTTAAGAATTTTTCTGAAACATCTACATCAATGAGAATACAAATTATACACTTTGAACTATTGGCAAAATTTGAGGGTAAATTTGTTAGAAATTAGAATGTAGAGAGAAACTAGAAAAATGGCACGTTTATTAATAAGAAGGAAGCTTCAGCAATAAACTAAAATTGGCACCCACTATTAAGAAAGGATACTAGGATTATTAGGGAAATAAATTGAAATGATATAAAGATCCAGAAAACAACAATAATAATAGCACATACAAGACAACCAGTGAGAGTAGACCTGATCTCAATTAACATAACCAAAATGGCTTTAAGAAAATTATTACATAATCATCCAGTTCCTTTTAAGATTTTAAGAACCTTTTACAAATGTAGAAAAGCTGGGATTTGAAGATTTAGGAAAAATTAATAAAATCAAGGATGATCCAACTGGAATTCAGATGTTTAGTAGCCGTGATAAATAATAACAGTGTTTGGAAGGTCTAAATTCTTGAAAATATGGAGTTTTAAATATCCTTCACTAAAGATTAGCCCTATCTATACTTTTAATATTGTATTATATATGTGAATATACTTGCTTTCTCCCCCATATTTCTAATAATTTTTAAATTTATATAATATATTGGGATGTCTGGGTGGCTCAGTTAGTTGAGTGTCTGTCTCTTGATTTCAGTTCAGGTCTCTCTCTACCTCCTCCTCTGCCCCTCCCCTGCTTTCTCTCTCTCTCTCTCTCTCCCCCCCTTTCTCTCTCTCTCTCAAAAAATAATAAAATAAATATACATATACATAATATACAATATGTACTTTTAATATAAAGTTACTTATATTAAAAAATTATATTCAGTCAATCACTGTGTTCTGTTTACTTGTATACTCTTCATCTTCTAGATATGTTTTCTGTCTGTGCAAAATATGCATGTGTATAGCATGTGTTTATATGTGCAGAAAAGGGCATCTTTTTCTCTCGTTATTTTTACAGGTGGTAGTATATTATACATACTTTTTCTCACCTTGCTTTTTTAAATTCATAATATATCTCAGAAATTTTTTCATATACATACATAAAGAGGATCTTCTCTTTTTTAAAAAAATGGGGGAATCTACATCTATTGTGTAGATGTTAAATTGCTTAAGTAGTTTCTTATTGATGTATATTGTTGCTTCCACATTTTTTCTATGATATATGATTCTGAATGAAGAATCTTGCACATACATTTTTTTTTTCTATCCATGCAATTCTGTCTATAGGTTATTGTAGTAAAATTGCTTGGTCAAAAGGCATATACATTTCTTTTTTTTAATGTTTTTAAATGTTTTTATTTATTTTTGAAGGAGACAGAGAGACAGAGCATGAGCGGGGGAGGAGCAGAGAGAGAGGGAGACACAGAATTGGAAGCAGGCTCCAGGCTCTAAGCTGTCAGCACAGAGCCCGATGTGGGGCTCGAACTCACAAACTGTGAGATCATAACCCGAGCTGAAGCCAGATGCTCAACCGACTGAGCCACCCAGGCGCCCCCTAAAAGCATATACATTTCTTTTTTTTTTTATATGAAGTTTATTGTCAAATTGGTTTCCATACAACACCCAGTGCTCATCCCAAAAGGTGCCCTCCTCAATACCCATCACCCACCCTCTCCTCCCTCCCACCCCCCATCAACCCTCAGTTTGCTCTCAGTTCTCAACAGTCTCTTATGCTTTGGCTCTCTCCCACTCTAACCTCTTTTTTTTTTTTTCCTTCCCCTCCCCCATGGGTTCCTGTTAAGTTTCTCAGGATCCACATAAGAGTGAAACCATATGGTATCTGTCTTTCTCTGTATGGCTTATTTCACTTAGCATCACACTCTCCAGTTCCATCCACGTTGCTACAAAAGGCCATATTTCATTTTTTCTCATTGCCACGTAGTATTCCATTGTGTATATAAACCACAATTTCTTTATCCATTCAT